AGTCCCAAAAGTACCCTCGTGGATTTCTCTCATAAGCGCATCTGCTTCTTGCTTCTCTACACACCTGAGTAGTACCATGTCGTAGTTTCTTTTGTATAGCACCCCATTACTCAGAAATAATTTTAAATCTAACCTTCGCAGAGTTTGCTTGTCAATGATAGAGGAATTTTCTGGATATTCCTGCTTTTCCGGGTACTTCTTAATGTCGTAGAACCAAGGCTTGTTTTCCGGTCCTTCTTCAATAGAAAAACAGTGTGCGGGCTCTTCGAAATGTCTAGCTGTGATGCGTGGTTTATGATTCATCTAGGTTACCTTGAACATAGCTGATAGAGTTGCCAGTGCGTCTGCCATTTGATTTTCTTCTCGTGGGATGTGGTTGAAAGTGATCTTGGTGAACTCTGCGGCCAACTTCAAAACATGATCCCGATATGGAATCAATTTTGGGTGTTTTGTATCCCATTCACCATTAACCTGATATATGACTAATGCAGAGTCCCCAAATACTTCGAGGTGATTTATGCTCAGATCAGTGGCAGCTTCCAGTCCTAGTATGCAAGCTTCGTACTCGACAATGTTGTTGGTGCAATCGAGAGATAATCTTGCGATATTGGCTTATGATAGTTCTTTGGAGAAGTCAAAACTTCCCCAGTGCATTTGAATCCCCGTTGAATGTGAGTGTCCAACATGCCCCTGGCTCGGGTCCTTCGTCGGGTCCTGGTATTTCATAGTCGGTTATAACCATGATGTCTTCGTCTGGAAAGTCGAACTTCATAGGTTGATATTCTGGCAGCAGTTAGTGAGTTAGATGATCAGCTAGTATACTACCCTTGATGGCCTTCTGAGTGACATATTGGATATCGTATTCCGATAGTAGCATCTACCATCAGGAAGTTCTCCCGGTAAGAGCTAGTTTTTTAAAGACGTACTTTAGAGGATCCATTCTTGCTATTAACCATGTAGTGTGGGTTAACATATATTGCCTCAACCTCTTGGTAGCCCAAGCCAATGCACAACAATTTTTTTCGAGGAGTGATTACTTGGTTTTGCAGTCAGTGAATTTCTTGCTGAGGTAATAAATCGCATGCTCTTTTCTGCCTGTTTCATCCTGCTATCCCAAAATACAACCCATTGATCCTTCGAGCACTGTCAGATACATGATGAGTGGTCTTCCGAAAAATAGCGGCATTAATATTGGTGGCTCTTGCAAATACTGTTTTATCGTCTCAAAGGCTGTTTGGCAATCATCATTCCATATTACTGTCTGATCTTTTCGTAATAACTTAAATATTGGATCACATGTAGCTGTTAGATGTGATATAAACCTTGAGATGTAATTCAATCTCCCTAAGAAACCACACACTTCTTTTTTTGTCCTTGGTGTTGGCATCCCTTGTATATCTTTTACTTTGTCGGGGTCTACTTCGATACCCTGCTGGCTTACAATGAAACTCGACAATTTGCCTGATCTGATGCCAAATGTACACTTGTTCAGATTTAACCTCAGTCTGAACTTGTGCAGCCGTTCAAATAGCTTTTTTAAATGTATTATGTGTTCCTCCTATGTATGGGATTTGGCGATCATATCATCTACGTACACTTCAACCTCTTTGTGGTTCATATCATGGAATAATGTGACCATTTCCCTCTGATAGGTTGCCCCTGCATTCTTGAGACCGAATGGAATTACTTTGTAGCAGAATGTTCCCCAAGGTGTTATGAAGGTAGTCATTTCCATGTCTTCGGGTGCCATTTTGATTTGATTATAGTCTGAGAAGCCGTCCATGAATGAGAATACTAAGGCTTGAGTCGTGTTATCCACCATAACATCTATGTGAGGTAACGGGAAGTCTTCCTTGGGGATTGCTTTATTCAGATCTCGATAATCCACACACATGCGTACCTTGCCATATTTCTTGGGTACTGGCATAATGTTAGCTATCCAGGGTGGATAATCTACCACTGCTAGGAAACCTGCATCAAATTGTTTAAGAACCTCTTCTCTGATTTTGATGGACATATCTGGACGAGTTCTCCTGAGTTTTTGCCTAACTGGAGAACACCCTTCTTTGAGAGGTAGTTTGTGCACCACGATGTCGGTATCTAACCCTGGCATGTCTTTGTAAGACCAAGCGAATATGTCCAGGTACTCGTGCAGTATTTTGATAAGCCTTTCTTTGACGCTCTGCTCTAACATTTCCCCTAGCTTGATTTCTTTCGGACCTTCCTCTGTGATAGATTAATGATCTCAATAGCCTCTTGGTATGGTTGTATGTTGTCAGCCTTTCATTCCATTTCCCTCACCTTTTCCTTAGAGAGTTCAAGATCTTCACCATCTTCCTCTTTGGCTTGGTTGATAGGAGTATCAAAATTGTATCGGGTCACAGCAGTAACATTATCGGTAATTTTGGGCATGGATCTGCACATTTATCATGTTTTGGTGCATATATGAGATTCTGAAAATTTATATGCAGAGAAAGTATTGACATTTTTTTAATATTCAAAGAATAAATGCAAGAGAAAGACAAGGATCTTAATTGGAAACAAAATATAACTTTTATTGATTATAAATATTGTTTGAAACAAAACGGGAAACCCTTACAAGCAACCCCTATGCCTCGGGCTTGACATAGGTTCCTCTTTTTTAAAACAAGAAAAATTACTTAGGAAAGAAAAATATCTCGGGAATCTCCACGGTAGTCCATCTTTTGAGTTCCTCTCCTGGGGCATGTTCCCGGATGAAGTTAGTTGCCTTTCTAATGTTGACATTGTTGGATATCATCGCCACATGTCTTCCATGTTCTATTCCTTTGTTGACAAAAGTCTCTTGGATCAGAGGGAAACATGATTTGCCTTTTAGAGTAGATTTCGATGATGCATAGCCCAACCCAAAGTGATTCTTCTTCTCAGGAATTTCTGGGAGCTTTCCCCAGCCTTTTGAGGCATCACATCCCATAGTTGCTTGTAGATCTCTCCACGATGTCACCTTAGGCTTATTACCCTTCTCGACTGGTAAAGTCACCATTGAAGTAATTTCCAAGGCTTGGAACAGGGTATCTATACAGTCTTCATCTGCACTGATGTATCTATATGATTCGATGTGGCTTACGAATATGTCTTCCTCGCTGTCGATTATGATTAATTTCCCTTCCACTAGGAACTTCAATTTTTGATGCAGGGTCGAGGTGGATGCCCCTTCTGCATGGATCCAAGGTCTCCCCAGTAAGCAAGTGTATGCTGGTTCTATATCCATGACCTGGAAAGTGATATTGAATATATACGGCCCAATTTTAACTGGAAGATCCACCTCTCCCAACACCGAGCTTCGAGAATCGTCAAATGCTTTCACTATTGTAGAACTTGGCCTCATCACAACGTCATCTATTTTTAAATTTATCAGACTTGACTTTGGCAACACATTTAGGGCAGAACCGGTATCAGTGAGAACCCTGGATAAATGGGTAGTACCTATCTGCATAGTAATGTGTAGTGCCTTGTTATGAGCTCGGCCTTGTGGCGGCAATTCACTGTTGCTGAAACCCAGGTATGATCTGAATGTTAGATTTGCTACGACATTGTCAAATTTATTTACCAAAATTTCCTCCACGATGTGAGCTAAACTTAGTACCTTCATCAAAGAGTCTTGGTGCGCTTCAAAGTTAATGAGTAGTGAGAGTATGGATATTTTTGCTGGAGTTTGGTGAAGTTGATCCACCACTCTGTAATCACTTCTTTTGATTATTTTCAGAAACTCTTCTGCCTCTTGTTCAGTAAAGTTTTTGCTTTGAGGTTTTGTTTCTTGACTTGTATCCACTACTGCTTTTCCCTTGTCCTTTGTTGGAGTCTCATCTTACTTTTTTGATGGTTATGCTCCAAAAATTGGACCACTTCGGGTCATACCCCTTGTCCCTGCTATATTTGAAATTGCAGGTCCCTGACTTGGTGAGGGCTTATTTTCTTGCTTCACTCCATTAATGTACACGGCTGATTCATAACTTTATGGTACTTCCTTGTGTAGCGGTGAAAATCGGAGATCAAGCTATTAATTAACTTGACTCACAAAAGCAAGAGTCGCCACCCGCGCTTTATTATTTCCAAGGGAAAAGGGAAAAGAGCGAAATAAAACCCTAAAATATGCAATGTAAAATAATACTTAAAAGTAATAAAAAATACAATGCGTTTTTTGAAAGAGATTGAGAGTTCGGGGGTTGGTTATACAATGGGAAGGTATTAGCACCCAATGCATCTGCGGTACTCCACAGGAACCTTTTTGAAATATCTGTTTTTGGTTAAAATTGTTTGTTTGATTGGTAAAATAATAAAACTAACTAATCTAAATTGACTAAATTATTTAAAACTAATTTGACTAACAAAAATAATTTAAACTAATTAAACTAGAAAAGCTAATTAATAAGTAAATCTAAGAGGGTATAGGTTAGAATTAGTGCTAGGATAAGTAGGAGATTAGGAGCAATGAGCCCAAAAGCCCAATCACTAAAATAAACCCTAATATTAATAATGATAATAGATATTTGAAAAAAATAATAACAACAAAAAAAAATCATGTTGAAAAGAGTGGAGAGGAGACGGACTACTTATTGGAGAAAATGTTGATCACTTCAAAATGAAATTGCAGCCACACATATGCTAACACATGGCAAATGTGAAGAAAAAAATAAATAAAACAACATTATATAAAAATAATATTAGAGAGAAAAAAATAGTGTTTTACTTACCTTCCATTCTTCTCTTATTTCCTCTTCCAACGAGTTTCTCTAAACTCATTTTTCAAGTTTCATCAAATCCCAATCTTCTCCTTAATGATGGTGGTCGATAGATAAAGAGGGCGGCTACAAGGCGACGATGACGGCTGAGCGAAGGAGCCTCGTGGAAGATGCGACCATGGGGCTTGTGTTCCACGGATTGGCAGAGGCTGAGCGGTGTTGTGGAATCCCATCGGAGGTTCGGAGCAAAAGGGTAGTCAGTGGTAGCTTAGGTTGGTGTTAAGCGCGGATCTGACTTCGACGGCGGACTGTGCAGTCATCGTCGTTGCTGATGTCCGGCGACGAGAGTATTCCGATGGCGGTTTCCCGAGAGCTCCACGGTGTATGCGTTTGCTTCGGCGGAGGGAAGTGGATGTAAGGCTGGGACATCGTTGCAACCGACGACGGAGACGGCCCGTGAGCGGGCTCAGCTGAAGCTTCTGACAGAGGGAAGATGCATTTTGTATTTTCAATACTCTCCCTCTCTCTCTTTTTTCCCAAAATCTTGATAATGACCTTGCAAATTGTTGAGTGTTGGTCAGCGAGATGAGCGAGAGCGTTGGCTTCATCGAGTGGCACTCTTTTGGTGAAATCTTCGCGGATTTGATGGCAGCTACTTCGGATGGGTCGCGGTGATTGGCGGACGTGATAGAGCCATCGGGGAGTTGAGTTCGCCAGAGCACCAACGGATCCGGGTTGTCTCTTCGGAGGCGTGCATCCAGCTCGATCTCTTTCAAACCTTTTTGCTCTTGATTTTCCTATTGCTGCATAATAATGAGAAACTTGGAAACACCTCTCTGTGTCATATGTAGCAGACTAATTATTAAAATAGTTAGGAGAAGAGGTTATTTGATTCAAGTCAACAAAAAAATGAAGGTAACGGTATTTGAGTGTTAGGAAAAGTATGTTGGCGTGAAGAGGAATGTGTAATGGGTTGTTGTGGATGTTTGAAGAGAGGAGGGATAATAGCTTACTGTATTTCTTTTTTGGTTTGTTTTGGTGCATAAACACTGGATTGAGTTTTAGGTGTTACTACTACAAGGTTGTGTTATGGATAGAAGGGTTGAGCGTTTGGATTGAGGTTAGAAACTTGTGGTTGCATTGTGATGGGATAGGGAACGGGAATGGGAATGGGAATGGAAGGTTGAGAGAAAGAGATTATTGTTAGCTTTTTGTGTTGTTCCCCCCCCCCCCCCCCCCCCCTTGGACAATGAAAATAATGAAGCCTTAAATAGAGAAAATTATGATTTCAAAATAAATCCAAGTCGTTCAATATAAATTCAATCTCTATCAATCCGCAAACCATGCTATCGACCAATAAGAATTAAGCAAAGTCTAACTAATATATTTTTGTGACCAAAATGTCCTTTAATGATAAAAACAATCAAAAAACTGAAAGTATAAAAATTAAATCAATTTAAAATAATTTTTTTTGAATATTTTATGAATAAAAAATAAAGACCCAAAATGACCGAAAATGATTAAAAAAAAACGGACGCAAATTTATCCGAAAAAATAAAATGAACACATTAAAATAATCTACATGTCACAAAGATTAAAGAAAAAATATTCAAGAAGTCAAAAATCAAAAATAAAATAATAATAGAAATATCAGACTAAACAGACGTTTAAGGTTAAAACGAGACTTCGAACTGTACCGAAAAATAAAGCGAGCATACCGTCATAATCTACGCGAAGCGCAGATTCATAAAATGATCGGTAAAAGGTGAAAACTTGAAATATTTTCTCGCTACTTTCCCGCATAGTGTCGAATCGCTTTTAACATTTTGTCTATAAAACCAAAATATTTTTATTATCGACATATAAACAACTTGGAGTAATGCAAGAAACGAGTAAAGAGACAAAAATGCATGAAGTGAAATGTCAGGTATTTTTTAACTAAAAGACGATGCAAACTTTGATTTAAACTGACTTTTCTGGTCAACTTAAATACGACTAACGATGCAAAATATGATGAATGAAGATATTTACTAATGATTGTGACCAAATGACAAAATATGGTATGAATGTGCGACTGGAGAAATTAGGGGCGAAATTAAGGATGCAATAGTTGTGCCTTGATGAATCAGTCTTCGAGAATCCACAATCAACTGTACTTCTGGTTTGGGAGACTCAAAACCTTAATTGAGGCGTGACACCTGATGCTCTTGATTCAGACCTGTCTCTGCACATGACACAAAAGAAAACATGAACATACACCTTTGTATGCGATTAGAAATTAGTGATACATATGCTAAAAATGTTAAAAACACTTGACAATCTTCGCATAGTCAAAGCTCGAAGGTGAAACGTTAAAACCGACCGTATTTCGTGACCTTGACTTATCTTAAAAAATGCAAAAATAAAAATGGGATCTTAGGTCAAAAATTGGGGTACAACAGCTTCCCCTATTTAAGTTTCTTCTATCTGGAGATATGAAGATTGGGATCTTCATTTCGACGAGATTGAAGGGGCTTAAATATAGAATACACAATTTTTGGCCTTAAGATACCGCGATTATGTTTACGATATGATATGAATGTAATGTTTTGAATTTTATGGGGAATGACGCCATATGAGACAAACTATGCTGGAGAAACCAAGCACATTATACAGTAATCCCACAGAGGAAGAGGTTGTAACTCCACTGGGGAAACAGAGTCATAGACTTCAAATGAGAGGTTCTTGAATGATTTACATCAGTGTTGATATTGGAAAAGAAATTATTTACATCAGCACTGTGGCTGGAAAAGAAATGATTTACATCTGCACTGAGACTGGAAAATGATTGACATCAGCACTAAGACTGGAAAACAAAATGATTGACATCAGCACTGTGGCTGGAAGACAAAATGATTGACATCAACACTGTGGCTGGAAAACAAAATGATTGACATCAGCACTGTGGCTGGAGATAAACATCTCTGATTTCTGAATTTTACCAAGAACGGTAACACATTTCTTCTTTAACCAAGATATCGCTTGAAAAGGATAAAATAACAAACTTCCCCACTGGACTTTTCCGAAAGGGATGCCATTTGCTGAGTAGACATTATTGTTGGGGATACACAAGCTACCCCAAATAAAGAGCCCGCCACTTGCTTCCTTTCGAAGGTGTCAATAACATACAAGCTGCTCATGAAGAGACTGCCACTTGCTTCCTTTCGAAGGTGTCAATAACATACAAGCTGCTCATGAAGAGACCGCCACTTGCTTCCTTTCGAAGGTGTCAATAACATACAAGCTGCTCATGAAGAGACCGCCACTTGCTGTATTCAAAGAATATTAAAGCACACAAGCTGCTCATGAAGAGTCCGCCACTTGTTGCAAAAACCCACAAGCTGCTCATGAAGAGCTGCCACTTGCCATCTTCAAAGAATATTAAAGCACACAAGCTACTCGTGAAGAGTCCGCCACTTGTTTCCAAAAACCCACAAGCTGCTCATGAAGAGCTGCCACTTGCCATCTTCAAAGAATATTCAAGCACACAAGCTACTCATGAAGAGTCCACCACTTGTTGCCAATAAAACACAAGCTGCTCATGAAGAGCTGCCACTTGCCATCTTCAAAGAATATTAAAGCACATAAGCTACTCATGAAGAGTCCGCCACTTGTTGCTTATAACCCACAAGCTGCTCATGAAGAGCTGCCACTTGTTGTATTCAAGGGAACAATAACACACAAGTTGCTCAAACAGATAAGCTGCCACTTGCTGTCTTCCAAAAATACTAACGTACAAGTTGCTCATGAAGAAGCTGCCACTTGTCATTTTCAAAAGAAAAAATAACGTACAAGCTACCCATGAAAGGACTGCCACTTGTCGTTTTTCGAGAGAATAATAACACACAAGTTGCTCATGAAGAGACTGCCGCTTGTTGTTTTCAAAGGTGATAATAACATACAAGTTGCTCATGAAGAGACCGCCGCTTGTTGTTTTCAAAGGTGATAATAACATACAAGTTGCTCATGAAGAGACCGCCGCTTGTTGTTTTTTCAAATGTAGCAATAACAATACAAGTTGCTCATGAAGAGACCGCCGCTTGCTGTTTTTTAAAAATGTTGATAACATACAAGTTGTCCATGAAGAGACTGCCGCTTGCTGTTTTTGAAAGTGTTGATAACATACAAGTTGTCCATGAAGAGACTGCCGCTTGCTGTTTTCTCAAAGATACCCATAAAATATCGTGAAGATATTGCTGGAGGTGAGAATCAATAATTTCATCGAGGATGGACAAATTGCTCATGAAGAGACCGCCATTTGTCGTAGAGAAATCAGAAATAATCAAACTGCTCAAATAAAGAGTCAGTCGCTTGTTGTCATGTCGATATTCCAGAAGAAGGTTGTGATAACACTACTGGGGAATAAAGTTCATCTTCAATGGGGAACCATGAATAAATCCTTCTTGAGGAGACCAAATATTTACGTTGCAAAATAAATGCACTCTCCATCTAGGTTTCACAGCCTAGAGAGATCCACAGGGTATCGTTCACAAGAGACAAAGCTCAATCCAGGAATAAACTGGAGAGAAAATAGTCAAACAAGACTCCACCCAATGAGGAAACAACTCAAATGGGAATTTATCCTATCCAGAGATGGAAAAGGAAAGCTAAAGCAAGGTTCTTCCACGAGAGTTAACTCAGTGGGGAATTAGAAAAGAGGCGCACTTTCTGCTTAAGTTGACACTCTATTTGGAAAGATCAAATATGCTATTTGAATAGACATAACCAAGGTATACGAACTCGAAGATATCAACAAATACAAATGTGCGTGCATGATGCAAGTATGAACGAATGAATGAATGTCATATATATGTTGACAAGACAGACAGGGGAGATAGATAGAAGATGATAAGATGTCCCAGTACAACCCGACGCTCAGCCAATCTCAACAAAAGGGGAACATTACTGGAGATAAAAACAAAAGCCATCATTGGATCAAAGTCCTTTTACAAGGCTTAAATCTCTTTGGAGAGGAAGATATTTTTCGGTAGAAAGCCCAAAGTTCAGTCTCCTATCACTAACAATCCCTTGAAAGGATGACAACACGAACACTGTTTCGGCTGGAAAAAGTCATGCTTAGCTGGAGATACTGGGAACACCACCCTCTGATAATGTGTGCAATACATATCACTTATCTTGACAAATCTAGATTGCCCCTGGGACCAATTTTGGATGCCCCAAGTTTACTGCTGATGAGCTGCATGTTGCACGACAATTCTTGCGAATAGCTTTACTTCTAACATGCCCCAAGCTATCTGGCTGATGAGGAGAAATCATCTCAAGAGGATTTTACAAAAGACCTGGCATTCACCATGCTCTGGTGTCTTCAAACTCTTATAGGAATTCATCAAATCTCGACGTGATTGCCCCGGATTGACTGTAGTTGGCACAACAAAGTCTTCGAATTTTTTCCCCAAACGAGCAAACAAGTTGGGAAAAGCATTAACTGGGAGAAGCAACATGTTCGTGCTTACGGTCTTCAGGTGACATGCCCATGGATATGATTTTTTCTTAAAATGATTCGCCAATTACTCAACATAGTCTCAGGCCTTAAAAGAATAAACTCATCACTGGTGCTTATGTGAGCTTCCTTGATATCAAACAAATGTTTTGCAGTTAGAAAAAGTTTACTATAAGAATGAAAATTCTAATGCAACATTTATGTAAGTCTTGAAGATTTTGAAAAGATATCGCACAAATTTTGCGAGTTAGAGCATCATTTATTTTTGTATAGGAAAAACATATGATACCAACATAACTATTTAGAACATTCATGGGAGTCAGGAACACTATCTCATTGAAGTATGCTTTCAAAATAACCTTACTTCAATTAGGACTTTTGAAGGTTGTAATGTGGTCTGGTTCATGGTTTTAGAAAAAAGATTTTAAGGCTCAAAATATTTGGTGCCCACCCATTCTTCATGATGTTCTCCAACCCTATGTTCAGTTAATTCAACATGAGTGTTCATCTCTCAAAAGGATTTTGTGACGGTCAAAGAAACGAC